TGCACTTTGGGAATGCAGCACGTCTGCAGCGTGGCCTCAACTCAGACATGCACCCCGCTGAGCCCCCAAGATGTCTGACGCTCACTGGCTCTTCCCGTCTCCCGTCTTTTGAGCGTTGGCCTGAAAAGTCCTCGGCCAAAGCCACAGACTGCAGGCAATTGGCCGGATCACCCTCCTGAACCCGGCGCTCCATCTCTGGGAGCAAGATGGCCAGGAGCAAAACAAACCGTTCATCAACATCACCATTCTGGTGCTATATACCAACGGTACATCATTTTATAAAAATTCCCTTTTAAACTGCAACGTAATCTGAGTGTCAGTCCTTTCAGCCGCATATTTTCCCACTGCTCCATCGGTATGTTATAACCTAAGGTCTTGGCCCATTTTATTATATACTCTTTAAATTGTTCTTCTGGTTCAAATTTCAGTAAAAGCTCATACATTTTAGGAATTACAAGTTCATCATTTGCACATACGGTAATTCAGTTTCAAATTCTGTCTTATGTTGTTCGATTCCAAATGTCCTTTTGTCTACTTTCAATCCTTCCCTTAACTGTACATAGGAGAACCATTGAGAACTAAATCACTCGACAGTCAATTGGTCTCTTGACTTCATCTTGTGTTCTCCGTGTTTTTGTTCTAACAACTCTCGACATGTTAACTGTTTCTCTTTGCCAGCTGTTTCTTTTTTATAAAATGCTTCTTGTGCCGAGACCCACAAAGGTGTTTTCAGACACAGCCTGGGTTGGTATCTATTCCATATTCTCAATATGGCACTTCAAACATATTGATTTTTAAAGTCTACATTAACCTTCTCCAATTGGGCAATCCCAATCCTCCTCTTTCCTTTGTGTCTTGAAGAACTTTAAATTTAACACTTGGTTTTTTTCCCTTCCATATAAACCTAGATATATCTTTCTGCCATTGCTTAAATGGTGCATCAGTTGTCAAGAGAGGCACTGTTAGAAACAGAAACATCATTCTAGGTAATACATTCATTTTTATCACAGAAATTCTTCCCAGCAATAACAATTCTAATTTTTCTCATCTTAACCCATCCTTCTTGGTTTCATTCCATGCCTTAACATAATTATTTTGAAATAGCTGCAATGCAATCAGAAGGCAACTTCCGTGACCTCTCTTTACCGTAGGAGCCTAAACAGGGTTTCCTTCTTCTGTTCTGGGGAAGAGTCTCTTGGGGGTTCTTCCATGTGTGAATACAAGAGTACAAATGAGGGCAGGGTAGGGGTTGTGGTGGAGACATTTACGGTCACCTGTCGTTTGAGTAATCTTTCCCCCCCTTCAGACAGTATTTCTCTCGTGTCACAGATGCTGTGTGAGGAAAGCATTTTCCTCACACACTGCTCCAGAATTATGAGCTTTCTTGTGCTTATTAAGAGATTTTTCGGCGTAACTTTTTCCACACTGCAAACATTTATAACGTTTTTCTCCTGAATGTCCTCAAAAATGTACACAAAAGATTGGCCGCTGAAGCATATGACTTCCCACTCTCCAAACGTATGTGTGGTTTCTCTCTGGTATAGATCTTCTGGGGAGTAATAAAAAGATTTACTGCACTAGAAGCAGCCATAGGTTTTCTCTCATGGGTGAACTCTCTTATGCATGCCAAGATACAGTGGTACCTCGGGTCACGAATGCTTCTCTTCACGAACAATTCAGTTCACGAACAGCTCCGGTCGCAAAGGTTTGCCTCCGTTCGCGAACGCCGGATCGAGTGACGAACAGGATCTGCGGCCATTTTCCCTGCTGTGACACATGGTCGTGGCTTCCTGTAGGGAGGGGGACTCTCCCTCCAAGCAATATCTGCCTCCCCACCTGGCCTCTTGTCCTCCACGCCAGAAGTCGCCTCGAGCAAGGTTAGCGTTCTCTCTCTTCGTGCTGTACTGTGTGTCATATTTTTGCGGTTTAAAAAAAAAAAACATGGTTCAGAACGGATTAACCATAATTACATTGAACCTTAT